TGTCCTCACCACGTCTCCCAGACCCACCACCCTCACCACCCCCACCGCCAGCCGAGGTCGGTGATGGGTCAGCACTCGCCGACGGCTGCTTGGGGTCGCTCGGCGCCTCCAGGTGCATCGAAGAAGCCACCCCTCCCCCAGACTCTCTCTGCTGCGATGGGGCTCCCTCGCCGCCTTTCCTCTCTTCAAGGCTGCGGCGCCTCTCCGCCATGGAGGGCGACTTCCTGATGTCGCCCGTGTTGGTGTTTTCCACTGGGATGCGGTCCAAGGCCGAGGGCAGGTCGGTGGGGGACAATGGCGAGTCGTCTGACGGCATGGGGGGGAAGGGGGGCGACGGGTGGCTGGAGGGGGTGGACGGCACCGCTGTCGGCTTGCTCACGGAGAGCTCAGCCGCCTGCAGTGCATCCAGGCGGTGGGTTCTGTTGCCTGGGTCTGGTCTCTCTCTGTGTGGGGTTTAGGTGTGCTGCTGACCTACTTACCTTTTTCCAGGACATGAGCTGGCTGCCCATTGCGTGGCAGATGACGGTCGATGTCAGCGGCCCCCAGTGCAGGAATATCCGAGACCGCACAGACGTCTTCTTCCCGCCCGCCCGGCGGCTCTCGGGCGATTCGGCCTCACCACCTTCACCACCTTCACCTCCACCCTCCCCGCCACCAGCACCAGCAATAGCACCGCCCACAGAGAAAAAGGCCGTCTCGTCTGCAGCAGTGTCGGCGCCTCTTGTGGTCTTGTCACCGCTCATTTCCTCCATCCACTCGCGCAGCTCGCCCCTGGCGCCGGAGAGGAGGTCGTGGATGGTCTTTTGCGTGAAGAAGTCTGCTGATGTGAAGATGGTGTCCTGGGTCTTGAAACGATGCAGGTCGAGGGCTGACAGATGGGTGGACCTGCACAGACAGAGAGGGTGGGGAGGGTAGAAAGTATGCAAGCTCTGTGTGTGTGTTGTGTGTGTGTGTGTGTTTGTGTGTGTGTGCGTGTGTGTGTACGCTCTGTGCATTGAAACGGACGTCTTGGGTGAGGACTCAGTGCTCGGCCGCGGGCTCGACACACCCTGTCATTCGCACGCCCACACAGACAGACAGACAGACAGACGCACGTGCACGGCTACACCCATCCCGTCTCTCCCCCTCCCACACTGATCACCCGTGTGGTCTTCTGTATCGACACATCCTCATTGGCTTGCATCTCAATGTCACTCAGATGCACCACAGACCCGCCGCCACCACCACCACCACCACCAGCCGTGTTGTTATCCCCCCCACCACCGTCCAGGTGCCCCTGTGTGGGCTTGCGGCTGGTAAACGTGTTGTCTCGGTGCAGAAAGGTGGTCGACGGCAGCCAACAGGGGTAGTCGGCAGGTTCGTCAGCCACCATCAGTGCCTTGAGGTCGAACCCCATGGCGAGAGCGTCCCTGATCTGCGCCCGCCAGACCTGGTTGCGGAGCGTCTTTGTGGCGGCGACGATGAGGAGGACGCCCTCGTCCTGCTCCTTGATGCGCGTGACGTTTTGGGTGGTGACCAGCCGGGTGAGCTCCTTTGGCGAGTGGATCATCTTGACCTTCATGTCGCAGAGGGTGGCCACGTAGTCGAGCTTGGACTTCTCGGCGTCAGACAGGCCTATGCCAACCAGGATACGATCCTCTAGCTGATGGAGGGAGGGAGGGATGGACACGGGGGAGGCAGGCAGACACAGCAACTGCGTGTGTGTGTGTGTGTGTGGGTGTGGGTGTTGTGCGCGCGCCTGTGCGAGTGCGAGGCTGGGCGGTATTGGCATGTCGCTTCTGTCGCGGCGACCGAACACCTCAAACGACAAAGCAAAGGTGGAGCCCTTCTCCTGGGGAGGGACAGACACGCGATCAGAGGGATGCGGGCAGGACAGGCATCGTATTGTGTGTTGTGGGTGGGGTGGTATCCTCACTCACCGCAGCGGAGAGCACATTCAGGTTCCCTCCGATGGCTCGGATGAGCCGCCGAATCACAGCGAAATGCAATGTCGACACCGAGTCCTACACACGACACGCACCATCAGACACACAGACAGACACATCCCTCCCCAATCGCTCGCTCCCGTGACAGACTCACGGACCTTGAAAGCATTGTGCACATCGCTTTCGGAGAGGATCTTGTTGGAGTCTTTGACCTCGACCTTGATGGTGTATCTGTGGCTCATGAGAGCCACGTTGGGGTTGCTGCCTGTGGCCGCCGGGGCGGCCACGCGGTTGGTCACCACCACAAACATGTCGATGGTGCCCTTGCTGTGGGAGGAATGCGTTATGGCGTTGAGCAGCAGAGACTCCAAGACCTGCAGAAATGGCAGACACAGAGAGAGATCGGCGGATGTGCACGTGTGAGAGCGCGACTTCGGTCACCCACCTGTGAGAGCGCAGCTTCGTTAGAGAGCACCTGGGAGGGGAGGCCTACACAGACCACACACACACACACATTCCCCCCTCGGCGGCCGGCCGGCACAGGATTGCGTGTGGCGCGTCTGTGCGTACCAGGTCCCAGTCGGCATCTTATGTTGAGCCCCTGCCTCGCTGCCCGTGGGGCATACGCCTCGATCGCCCGCTCAGCCACAGACACGAACGAGAAGAAATCCTGACCGTAGTAAGCAACACGAGAGTAGAGTGTGTTTACAGATGCCTCCCTCGTTTGCAGCACTGGGACAGCTCACGTTCTGTGGGATCGCCTTGCGGGTCTCCTCGGCAGTGAGCGACTCCAGACGGGCGAACTGAGTCAGCTGACGAACAGGGGAGCGACGCAGCAACCAGCCAGGTGATTCTGTGTGGTGTCTGTGTGTGTACCTGGATGATATTGCCGTACAGCAGCTGGGCGATATGTGCCATGGCCTGCATCGTCACCCACAGCGGCAGATTCCACCCGAGCGGCGCTGTGGTTGACACAGGCGCAGACGATGGCCCCTTCACCATAGCTGCCCATATCCACCATCCAATCCAACACCGGTGACCCAACAAACAAACAAGCACACACACGAATGGCTGCACCATGCACCACCCGGCCCAGCTAAGGTACCCTACCCTTGTGTTGGTCGGTGGAGTTGATCATGGTGGCGGCGAAGGCCATGAGGGCGATCAGCCGTGCCCGCATCCGCAGGTCGAGGATCTCGCTGATGTACCCCAACGACGCGCGCAGCCGGCTGCTCTCAAACTCCACCCTGTCTGTCAGCTCCTTCAGCTACACGCACACATGAAGGGGGACGACCCGTATCATGATGTGTGTCGGCTCGGCGCGGCAGGTGCGCTGCGCTGACCTGTGAGATGTTGGTGCCTCCCGGGCTGATGGGTGAGAGTATGAAGTATCCGAACAGCAGCAGGCCGAGGAGGAAGGTGACGAGGCCCAGCAGGATGGGAAACAGGAGGAAGTAGTTCTGATCCTTCAGCTCCATGGCGTCCACTATCGACGACTGCAGCTCCTTCACACTCTGCACACACACACACACACACACGCACGTTCGATCCCCCACTGCACTCACTCAGCTCACGCACCACTTGGTAGGTATCGAGTGCGGTGTCCAGGTCCTTCATGAGCACGTCGAGTGCGTCACACCCCACTGCATCCAGCAGCCCGTCGCGCAGCGCCGCCACAGCCGACGCCACACTCGCCACCTGACCCTTAACGCGACTCGACGCAAACGATCCCGTAAAAGTCACCCCAAGCCCATCGAGGTCCCGAAAGTGCGCGTCAGCCGCCCTTATGCCGGTGGCCTTGCCGTCGAGGTCTCGCACCTCAGCGTCGGTCATGGTGGATGGGGGCTCTGTGGTGCAGACGGTGAGAGTCAGTGAGAGGGCCGTGGAGCGGAGGGACTGCGTGTAGAACATGAGTGTGGTGAGCTGGTCGGTGTCCTCTGGGAGGGGCCGGGTCTGGAAGGCGATCGCCTCGGCGATGATTATCGACAGCAAAGACAGCACAAACAGCACCGTCAACGCAGCTGCACACAACACATACACACGTGGAGGGACAGCAGAGGGAGGGACTCATGGCATGGGAGGGGTAGGGTGCATTCAGGGAGGCCCTGTGTGTGGTGTGCCGACCGACCAATGATGCGTATCCGTTGTCTTCTCTGCCGCGCCCTGAGGTCCATCTCGCGGCTGACCATCTTGGTGTCCACCATCATGTTCTGCGTGTCAGCCCACACAGACGGCCGCCGGTTGGCACGCCGGCTGGTCGGACTCCCACCACCTTCATCCACGCCGCCGCCCGACGGCGGCACCCCCGTCTTGTTGTCCTTGCCCTCAAACATGAGCAGGATGGAGCTGTCCCGCTGCTTGCCGCCCCCGCCATTTGCCATACCACCCGGCCCGATATCGCTCGAGTGGTCGTCGTCAAGAATGATGTTCTGGGTCTTGCGCATGTTGAGTGTGAGAGCCAGGGACGACAGCTGGCCGGTGCCCTTGTTCTTGTGAGGGTCCTGCAGCCGAGAGGGCCGCCGCATGAGCAGCCGCCCCGGCTTGCTGGTCTCCTCCTCCCCCGCGGCTGACAGTGTGCCGCCCGACGGGGAAGTCATGACGGCTGGCTGGGGACTGGGTTGCGCTTGCCTGTCGATGAATCGCTGAAGTAAGTAAGGGTGAATGTCTGCTGCCGCTGCTCCGACTCAGCACCTCCTATTCGCCTCAGACAGTTCTTAGGGGCACGTTCTTCTCACGAGGAGCTGCTTCTGTTGTCTGAATAATGAAAGAGCCAGCCTGCTCGCCGCCTCTCGTGACTTCGAAGTCTTTCAACGTCCTTTCGGCGTTGGCGTATCCTCATGTGTGCACCCTGCAAAACACACATGACAGCCCCGTCCGTCACACTGACTGATAGACGAACACCGCCCGCCCGTGTCCCATCTACCGACCTGTATGACGCGAATCTCCCGACCTGTATCTCTATCTTCACTCCTCTGTCGTTGATGATCTGACGGCACAAGGTTCGCAGAGAGGGAAAGACGCCGGCTGCATGCGAGCTCGCCAAGAGCCCCCACCAGGCCCCCTTCAAGTTGTCAAGTTCTCTTCAGTCAAGCGTTGAGCCATCGACAGACCTTCATATTGCTTGCCTTGCTCCACATTTCCCTCCCCAACCGCACATCCGCACTGTTTGACCCTCCCCCACGGTACCAGCAATGCCAGAGTTCAAGAGACGACTTCTACCAGCCCTCACCCATCCCCTCGTGCGGCAAGTCGTGCGGCTCCGACCACAGCCCCCTCCCCCCATCGAGAGGGTCCCCGATGAGCCCTCCCCCGTCACCCTCAGCAAGCGATTTGATGGCCTACTCAACAAACTCATTATCCCACCCAAGGGGACCGAGGGGACCGCAGAGTGGCAGTGCTACGCGGGCAGAAGGCTGTATGCCCGGCAGTGCCACTCGGGCAGATGGGAGGGCAGCCCGTGCACCGTCAGCCAGGTGATGGGCATGAGGACATCGCTCTGCACGCTGGCAGAGGCGGAGGTGAGAGGGGAGGGAGGGAGGGAGGGAGGGAGGAGGGAATGGGAGAGACATGACATTGAGGTACTTTTTGCCTTCCTGCAGTCCCACTCCCCTTCGTTTTTCCGACGCCGACACACAGACCCAGAGCTCCAAGCCCGCCTGCAGAAGGTAGGTGTGCATGCTGAGAGACAGAGAGAGAGAGAGAGACATGCAGGACACCCTCTGTTTGCCGTGTGTGGCTGGTGCCTGTTCAGATACCAGCTCCTCCCCCACTGCCGCCGCGTCGCGTGCCATCGAGTGTGCTGAAGAAGGAGGAGGGTCGTTTGGTTGTGCGAGAGCCGACAGCGGGGCGCGGCACCCCAGCCAACTGCATCCATCCGCCTCTCCCCTTCCAGTCAGGCCTCCACTCTGAGGTTCCCCTAAGGTACATCCCTGCTCGTGCCGACGGCTACACACCGATGTCGGCTGTCCACCGCGACATGAACATCCATGCGGCCATCGATGTCTACGTGAAGCGACAGGCCAAGGCGAGGGCAAATGCTGTGGCTGAGCAGCTGGCGCTGCAGCAGGAGTATGCCTTGATGCGAGAAGTGGCCGCTGAGCTGGACGTCAAGAGACTGGCGGGGGAGACACGCAGGGCGATCCTGAGGGAGAGGGCGGGGTGGACACGCTGCTTTTGCTGCTCTTAATCTGGTGTATCGAGCAACGAGTGGGCTGGGGCGGTGGGGTACGACGACACGCGAAAGAGACACGGCGGGGGGTTCAGAGGGAAAGGGCGATATGAGGTCGACGATTTTGCTGCTTCACGGGTCAAGGGGTCAGGGGGGGTGAAGGGCATCCAAGGGCTGGGGCGATCAACGACACGACAAGGGATTGAGCTGTGGGGCGCTTGCGTGACTCAGTGATACTTTTTGGAGACAGACAAGGCAAGAACGGCATCTTGGGCGAGCAAAGGGCAGGACGGCAGGAGGACCGATCGGACGGCTGGGCTTTCCCGCAGCCCAGGGACCAAGCAACGAAGCATGGCACCGAGGGAGGGATGGGTGGACGGCATGTCCGACGCAACAAGGCGTCATTCGGCTGTGATGGGAGGGTCGCTGCCTCATCATCGGTGAGGGCCACCAGACGTCGACCCAGTACTGAGAGCACGGCGGGGGGTCAGCACTCAGAGGGCGACATCGACACGAGATCGGTCACCGCTGACGGGTCAGGCGGTGAGGGGGGCTGGACCAGCCAGCGACACGACAAGGGAGGGGTAAGGGCGACACGGGGGGCGCTGTTTGCTGGGGTATGACATCCATAATGATGATGATGATGAGGAGTCCTCCAAGCACCGGGCCCATCGATCGCAGGGGACGCCGCTGTTTCACCTCACTTCTCGTCGCGGCCGACATCAAGGAGCAGGTAAAGTACTGGTGCTCCAGTGTTCATGCCCTCATGCAATGGTGTCTCATGCTGTGTGTTGTGCAGGTGTTTTGGGACACCAGCTGCCATGCACACCAGCTGCCATGCGAGAGATGAAGAGACACAGAGCGGGTTACCTACCGCGAGGGAGAGAGAAGGCTTTGTGGTGTCAGACTGGATTTCTCATTCGGCAGTGACGCCATCTGTGCACTCTGGCGTAAGACGTGTGTATGTCTCGTGTGTCGATGCCTTCCTTCTCTTGCCGTAAGGCTGGTCAATGGTCATGCAAAGGACGTTTCGACGGGTTTGTGCCTTGATGCTCGCGGAAGACCAACCATGCCATGGCCATGCACTTGGTATACGTGTCTTCATGATCAACGCATGTGTGTGTGACACATGGAGCAACAACAGAGCAGCACTACAGTGCGTCAACGCATCAAGTCCTCAGTGCCCCCGTCCTGTCATGGTCATGTCCCTCTGCTGCCTCTGCCTTCCTGAGCATCACCGCCCAATTGTTCGCATCAAAATACATCGACTCAACTGACGCACCACACACACGGCCACACAGACCTATAGCACACACACATACACACACATGCACACACACATGCACACACAAATCCAAGAGACCTTCACGCGAATGAGGCGCTCTGAGCTCTCACTCAGTTCCTCACCGATCAGCTCGTCTTTCGTGAAGACGTGGTAGTATCGTTTGAGTTCCACCAGATGCTCCCGCGCTCCGCTCAATTCGCCGCTCGGTGGACATGGTGTGTCGCTGCCCTCTGGTTGCGTCTCGCTGTCTGGTTGGTCTGCCTGTGAGCCAGACTCGTAGACCCTCTGGAGGTGCCACGGCACGAACACTGCACCAAAGTACAAGGAAGGGCAGGCAGTGGGTGCAGGTACGTCTGATGAAGTGCTGTGTCTGTGTGTGTGGCGCTGACCGTCTTGTGAGTCGAATTGCCGTGCACCGATGGATCCCTGCTCCTGCTCGTACGCCCTGTACCATTAACAGACTGTCTGTCTGTCTGTCTGTGTGATAAAGCGCTCACCAGACGTACACCAGGACGGCCCCACCGGACCTGACACATCGCACGAGCTCCTGCAGGGCGGCCAGCCTGCACGACATACAGACAAGACGGAGGGAGGAGACGTGCTGGTGCGGTGGAGGCAGGCAGTCGTGGCATGATTGCTTTGCCGACCGACCTTCTGTCCTCACTCCCCAGGTGGTGGATGACGGCAATCGACAAGGCAGCGTCGGCGCAACCTGCAGACGCAACACATCACATGTTCGTCACGTGTCGGTTGCATCGGGGCCTGTGTGTGTGTGTGAGATTCTGACCGACCATCCCTGAAGTTGAGTCTGACGCTGTCGGCGACCAACACCTGAGCGTCAACGCCCAGCCTTTCCCTGATGGATGAATGGCATGGATGACCCACACACGACCTTGTAGTGCACTGATAGGTCCGGTGTGTCGCCTTTCTCCTCTCTTGCCTCGTGCCTGCAGACAGACACCGACCTGCATATCTCCACGAGGGGCGCCGAGCGGTCCGACCCGATGCACAGCACATTGGACGCCGCACGGAGGTACTTGCCGTTGCCGCAACCTGCACCGCCGTGCTCACGCGCACACATCAATCAATACATGCAGCTACTTCCTTACACCCATAACACACCTACCGGTGTCGAGCACAAGGCTGCCCGGCTGCAGCTGCTCCAGGAAGGCCTGCACCTTTGGCCATGGCTTGTACCTCGTGTGGCTGAAGTGCCCCGCTATCTTGTCATAAACCTGATACACGTGGTCTTCCTCCAGCTGTGTGGCGGGCAGCGACACATCCACCGGCCGGCAGCTCTTGTCCGACGGCGGCATCTTGGGGCGTCCCTCTGACGGAGGCCGGGAGGCCTCGGAGGAGAACAGATAGTCGCTGGCCGCACCCTGAGCTGAGCGAGAGAAGCGGCCTTTCTCTCCATGTGTGTGGACATGGTGGGCCAGACCTTCTCACCGTTCTGCTTGATGCTCCGCATGACAACCATGAGTGCTCGACTCCGCGTGGCAACTGTGCCGCCAGTGAGTGCAGGCTCCTTGACGGCAGGGACGACGAAAGTCCATGCGTAGCGGGCCTCCCCTGTGCACACACAACCCACAGACAATGAGCACGCAATACACCCTTCTCACTCACCCTGCATTGTCAGCATGTCGCCCTCGTTCAGCCACAGGCCCTCCACACGACCTGATCCATCCATCCATCCATCCGTGTTGTTCAATGAGGAAAGAAATGCCAACCAATCATTAGCAATGGGAGGATTCTTGTGCCACGGACCTGCATGTGGGTTGAAGAGGCTAAGAGGCAGTGAGCCATGGACACACACAAAGGCGATCCAGTCCTGTAACAGACAGACAGACAGACACCCAATGCCGGCCGATGGATGGATGGATGGATGGATGGCAGGTGGCTGTCTATGAAGGCGCATGCTTACTCACATCGAATATGGCGTCAGACTCCAGGCAGTAATACTCGGTGCCCTGAATGACAGACACATCAGCCAAACCGATCATGCATCCACCAAGTTCTTCGCATGAGTCTCATGTACCTTTCCAGGCAGCGCCTCGATGACGGTCGCTTGGTTCACAGCAATCGGTGGCGTCCTCTCGCCGAATGAGGCCACAATCCTGTCCACGAACCCCTCATGGAGCACCGCCCCAAGCCGCTTGACGCACTTGTGCCAATCCAGCATGTGGTTGCCGCGACCATGAAACCCACAGCCGATGTGCAGCTCTGAGGGGAGGGAGCACACAGACAGAAGGCAATGAACGAACAAATGGATGACCTTGTCGCGTGCTGGACTGACTGACCTCGTTGCCTTGACGCCTTGTTCCAGTTCTGGGCATCAACCTGCCGTCGGACAGTCTCGCAGTCGTCCTGCACCACCCATCCCCGCAGCAGCCGCACACCCGCCCCAAGCGCAGCACTCCAGTTATCGCCCTGTCCACTGAAGTACGAGCAAGGGTCCTGCACACTGTCCAGGGCGCCCTCCTGCCCCTGCCACGAACACAGCTCCGCGTATTCGGCATCGATGGGCAGAGAAATGCCGAGTGACTCCATCACCGAACGCAGCGAGGCACTGTTATCGTCAGCTTCGCCCTTGCTGCTGAGTATGGCCCGCACCTTGGCTGCTGTCGGCGCGTCGGTGAAGGATGCGAACAGGTAGTTGCGCTTGAGGATCAGACAGAGGGCCGCTGGCTGCAGGGCGGGCGGGAGGGAGGCGAAGAGCCGTTCCAGATGATCTTGCTGCAGCTGCGCGAGGCCGATGGATGGGATGAATAGATGGGGTGTGGGAGCTGATATGGTCATCGGGTGAGGAACGGGACGCCTGCAGAGTACCACAAAGGCAAGCAGGGCAGAAACTTGAGGGAGGGATGAAACTTCGAGATGCAGCCCAGCATGCAGTGATCTTTATCTTTGGGTACCGGAAGGGCGAAAGGGTGTGCCAAAGCGCTGTGATCTTCATGCGTTCTTTCTTCGGTCGCTTACAAGCTCGCCCAGATCACGGATCGAACTCATTGCAGAGTTTCTTTTTTTCCTTTCTTCCCCTTTTTCTTTTCGCTTTTGAATCTCCGCCTTTCTCCACACAGACACAGACAGCACAACACGGGACAGCACAAGAGGGGAAAGGAAAATTCAATGCACGTCAGTCAGTCAGCCGTCATTGGGGTTATTGCCAACCATCCATCCATCGACTCATGCAACACGTGGACATGTACAGGAATAGAGTCGGTCAGTATGTGTCTTCCCCATCTGCTGTACATGGTGCCTTGCTGTGCGACCGGGGGGGAGGGGAGCGCAGCCAACTTTCGCTCATCTAGCTGTATCGATCTATCTGTCTGTCTGCCTATCGATTCACCCACGGTCTGTCTGTCTGTCTGTCTGTCGCACCCCACCACCCGGCCACCTATACCCTCATCTATCTCTTTGTCCGCAATGGTGACATACACTCAATGGATAGCATCGATCTCATGGCATGCTTGTCCGTGTCTTTTGACCCATGCGGAGCGACGCTTCCTGTCTGCCTGTCTGTCTGCCTTTCGTCTGTTCCATCAATTTCTGGTTGGCCAAGTCGTTCGTGTGCATGTGAGCGGACTGTCTGCGCACAGACCGACCTAACGAATGAAGCTCACACACGCCCAGATTGAGTACTGCGCTGCGGCCAGATTGAGTGCAGAATGTATGCGCGGGCAATCGATGCATGTAGGTATACACACGCCATGAATCCGTCCAAATATTCGCGAACGCATCAATCAATCAGCCATACGCACAACGTACACACACCCGGCCACGCGAGAAAGTCCCTTCACACACGCAACACACATGACATGCACACGCTCATATGCACACGCACACGCACAACACCCACGATTAAGCCAACCAGCCGGCTACCTCTGTCAATCAATTCACCTGCTGCCCCATCCATCGTGCAGCCAACGGTAAAGCAGCCGATCCGGCAGCGACATCCGTCCATCCATCCATCCACACACACACACACACACAAAAAACACCTGCCTGCCTCCATCCCTCGTGCATCTATGTCGTCCACTACTCCTCCATCTCATCGTCACCGCCGCTCTCCAAATCCTCCTCCGAGTCAGCTACTGAAATGCGGCCCCCAGCTGCTGCCATGTGAACTGGCAGTCGGCATCGTCCAGGTGGGCGTTGAAGCCCTTGACCACCGCCCCATCCGCCAGCCCCCACTTGGCCGCCTCGTCCATCCTGGCCCGATGAACCACCTCACGCAGGCCCACACGACCGCGTGTGTGCACGGCCTCACGCGGACGGCTGTCGACACCCTCGAGCTCGAAGCACTGCAGCTGCGGGCGCCTCGCCGGCTGCCCCTCGCTGTCCCGCTTCCTGCCGCCACAGCCCACCACCTCCTCGTTGCCCACCACCTGCAGCGACGCGGCGGCCTCCACGAATCGCGCCATGGCGGTGTTGATGCGGCGGCCGACCTCTGTCGCATTCTGCACGGGCCGGGGGCGCTGCTTGAGCACCGATGGGTCGACGAAGAATGACGCCACGCGCCACGCCACAGCCGACATGTCCCGGTTGGCCAGGGGAGTCTCGTCGTCCTGCCAGGGGGCCAACGGGGTGACGTGTAGGGGCAGGGGGGGAGGGGGCAGGGAGGGGAGGGATGGGTCGAATGAGGGGAAGGCGGCCTTGAGCTGCTGGGCGGTGCCGTTGTGGAATGCTTTGGTCAGCGCGTCAGCCATCTTGCGCTGAGGTCGCAATGCGGCGTTGACGGCCGCCATCACAGCAGTGGGCAGCTCGTTGAGCACCGTCGCATATTCCGTCAGCACCAGCTGATGGCCACGACGGTCCCTCTCTGTGGCTGTGGGGATGCTGCTGATGTCGGCCCCCGCTCGCAGCAGCGAATGGATGATCCGCTTGTAGTTGTCAATTTCGGTGCGCATCTCCTCCTTGTCGGCGTCGGGCGTGTCCGGGTCCTGAAGCTCTTGAGTGCAGCGATCGAGCTGTCTGGCAGCGATGGCGAGGGGCGTCTTGCCGGCGACTGTCCGTCTGTTGATCTGGTCAGCGGGCAGCTTGCGGCAGAGGTAGTCGGCCACCTTGGGGGAGCCCTGCAAAGCCGCCCGGTGCAGTGGCGTCCATCCGTTGCCGTCGGCTGCCGCGATGTCTGCCCCGTTCGCCGTGATGAGGTCGAGGTAACTATCAATGAAGGACTGGGGATAACGCCCTTCCGCCCACAAGGCTGCTCTGTGCACCAGGTTGCCGCCCTGCTCGTCTCGTTCGGTAGCGAGGGTGGGGTCTCGTGTGATGAGTTGCCGATACATCGACATGAGCAGCTGCAGATACTCAGATGAGGGCTGACGCAGCAGACGGGGCAGGCCCCACACGTGCAGGTCGATGTCTTGACGCGCCGTCAGGATGTCGAAGGCCGTCTTGTTGCCGCATGCAATCGCCGATTGGAGGGGCCTCTGTTCGGTCTCGTCGGCTGCCGCATTGGGGTTGGCGCCTCCGTCGAGGAGTGCGGTCAGGACGGCCGCCTGCAGCTCGTCAGACGGCCACTTTGGCAGGGCGACGGGACGGCAAGCGTGACTGTCTTCTGCTTCGATGGTCGGGACGGTGTAGTCTGACTTGTTGTCAATGGCGAGAGACAGGAGTGGGTAGCCGTAGACCACACCACTGCTCTCCCTCCTGGCCACCAGCCCAGTCATGACATTCGAGTCGGCGTCCTGCTGTCGGATTAGGTCGGCCACTTCTCGTGCGCTGGTGAGGCGGCCGATGATCCACCGTGACAGCTCCCTGGAAGCGTCGTTGGTGCCCTGGGAATCGAGCCTCCAGCTCATCGAGTCCGAAATGGCTGTCAGGTACAGGAACAGCTGGATCCACCAGGCCATTGAGGGGATGACCTGCAACACACACAGCCACCACACCACGGACAGTGATTGTGCGCACAGGATCCTCTCTGTCTGCCTGGCGTACCTTCCTCCTCATATTCCCAGTCGTCGTCCGAGTCTCTGTCATCGATATCTTCTCCCTGGTCGCCATCGCCATCCTCCTCCTGCATGCCACCCTGACACACAACAAAGAGGCGGGGGGCGGGAAATGACTCAAGGGCCTCCATCGCATGGACTAGTGTTGGTGTTGATGAGCGCCTCACCGATTCGTCTCCATCTTCCGCCTGCGGACCATCACCACCGTCGGCCATCTCATCGGCCATCGCGCCCTCCTGTTGCTGCTGGCCGCCTGGACACCAACACACACCTGGCGTGAGTGTGCTGCTGGTGTGTGTGCGTCGAATGGTCCGTGTGGCACGTCTGATCACTCACCGCTGTCTGCGCCGTCGAGGTCTAGTTCCTCCGGCTGCCCACTGCCGCTATGCTCCTCCTCAGCTACATTGCCTGCACACGCCATCGAAGACACACACACGTGTGGCGCTGATGCTGTGTGTTTGATGTGTCACATTCATCTGTTTGTGGCGTACCCGCATCGCCACCGTCACTGTCCGCCATGGCAGCGGAGGCCACGTGGGTGTCGTGACCCTCAGACATCTCACTCAAACAGACACCAACAGCTGCACCGACCACACACACAGAGAGGCGACAAGAGATGAGCAGACACCTGCTGCATGTGTCGTGTGTGTGCTCGCCCACCTAGCTATGGGTCAAATGGTACAATGACGCTCAAACAAGCCGCCCCGTCGACAAGGCCGACCTACACAACACGACACCGACACACAAAGGCCGCAACTCACCTGACGACTACTGGTGAACGAATCGCATGAGCGCGTACCGTCGGGTGGCTCTCTCCTGCTAAGCGCCGCGATGATTAATTCCCCAGAAGGCCTCCAGCGATAGAGAGGAAAGAGGCCCGTCTAAGTTTTTTTTGGGAAGAGATAATTGACAGATGGCATCCATGCACTCGCTTGTCCAAATCGCCTCCATGAATCTATCCACATATGCCTAT